CATTTAAAAGAAAATCTTAGATTATCTATAATTACGAAAGTAACTGGCAATACTCATTATATTGGTATTATCTACATTGCTAAATAACCTAATATATTTGACAGGCCTTGCTTTTTAGTTAAGTTGGAATTTGAAGACCAAAATTAAGTTTTTTTAATAAAAATAAAATTTAGAAGGTAAACAGACAGAGAAGGTAAAATTTGTGTCGAAGTTTTTTTTTGAAAAATAAGTAAAAATGCGGAAGAAAACAAAAAAAATATTCTGCCAATTTGACTGAACTAAAGAATATACCATTAGATCGCTGAGGAACGATTCGTAGTCTTTCGCAATTGATATTCCAAAATCAATTGATATCTTTAAACAACGAATGAATAAATCCCATTGCTGCAAATCAATTTGGTTTTAATTTTCTTATTCGTAATTTGTTGCAATAAATGCTATTGTTATTTTTAAAATGAATTTAATATTTTTTTTATATTTAATTTTAGTTTTCTTTCATTTTTTCGCAAATGTATACTATATTTTCGGACAAAAAAAAAATGTATTCCATATTTTATGACAGAGGGAGTATTATATAAAAAACGGTGAGGTATCTCAGTTAAATTTGCATTTCGAGAAATACTTAAAAATAATACTTAAATTAACATTATTTAATGTAAGACATTTAGTTATTTTTTCATATAATAACAAGTTAAAAATATTTATTCGTTGTGTCTGCAGAATCTGAGAAATCTTTTCGTCATTTCATATTTTTCCAAGTGTTTAAACTTAGTTTTATTGTTATTTTTTTGAAATGTCATGAAAACGAGAAATAAGAAAAATGTACCAATTATATTACTTGTTTCACCTATGTTGTTTAGATTTTAATTTAACATTATTTATTTTATATAGGGAAAAAAATGTACTTAAAATGCTATTGGAAGTATAAAAATGTAGCAGAAGTACAAAGAAAATATAGCAGGGAGATTTAGGCGGATCCACCTGCGCAACGTATAATTAATATGATAAATGAGATTGAAACGAATGGAACTGTTCAGGATGTTCATGAAGACCAAGAACATTAACGAGCTTCGCCCGCCAATAAAAAGTACTAGAAAATTATTGCAAAACATACAAGTCGTGAAATTAGCATCAGCAAATCAAGTAACCATCGTATTTTAAAACGTTATAGTATACAAAAGTTCCAACATTGGTATATGTTATGAATGTTTGTGAATCATTATCGTTATCAGCAGATCGGTACTAATTTTGATCATTTGCGATAGGAGAAAAAGTTATACGTTTTATGTAGATTCTTTTGCAATTTAAATTATATGTGAATAAAAAGAAAAGTGTGTTTACACTTTTTGGTTTATTTAGTTTTTATATAATAATTTGTACAATATGTCAAATTTTGCTCGTCACATTATTATTTTTGTGAAAGTTACTTTAAAATATAATATTTATTTACAGATTTACTAAATTTGAGCTAAATAGTTACCGATCGAAATAAGTGTAATATTTATTTTTTTTTAAACAATATTAACTATTACTTTTCATTATATTTAGGATGTTCGAATGTTTTAAAGCTCCAAATAATTATTTGCCAAGTATGTAAATCTTTATGTTAAGTTTATCTCAATAAGTTTAATGTTATTCACTACCAAAAACAAAATAAACATACGAAACGTCTGCGATATGAATTATTTCTCGAAATGCTTGACTTCAGAGAAAACTTAAACGCTGATTGATTTATACGTGTGTATATTTGTTTTTGATGAAAGGCTTGTTAATGCATTAAGGACCTTCTGAATAATTGAGGAAAAACGACCAAGTCGACAACTGCGACTACGACGACGAAGAAGCAGAAGAAGTAGGAGTTTCCCACTGCAAACTACTTAAGCGCGGTTCTAATGAATGTATTTCCGCTTTAAGAAAAAGGAAGCACTTCAGGTATTTTAAAAGCTCACCGCCATTAATATATAGTTCTATTAAGTTAAGAGCTTGTATCCTTCAAATTTAGCTTGGCTGAATAGGAGAGAAAGAGGCCACAAAAAAGAAAAGAAGAGACCGTGGAAATGTTTACACATGTGAGACATAAAAGTCAAGTGGCGTCTTCGGCCTCACATTTAAAAACGGAAAAACGAAGAAAAAATAATGTCACCTCGTATGATATAGAAATGCATTGTGCGGAACTATATGTATATAAATAAATAAATAAATAAAAAAAAGAAGATGGATCGAAATCGAGGGTGACGCTTTTTCAAGTGGGAAGCAATCGAACAAAATCGAAGGGTCGATGTGTGTGTGTGTTCGAGAGACTCGAAAATTTTTAATTTCCGGTTGGATTGTGAATAGTTTTAAAATTGCGGAAGCGCTTTGGGAAATTTTCCGACGGGGAGTCCAAAAAGAATGAAGGAAAACGAGTGGAAAGAATTAGAAACAATTTTTCATATGCCATTTGAAGCGAAGAATCGGCGACTCATTATTTTGACAATCGACTGTAAATGCAACCAGCAATTATTTTTAAAATCAAAATAGATATTGGAAATGCCTCGTGGATACAGAGCGATATTCAGTAGTTATAACAAAAATCGTGAATATTTTTACATTTATTGTGCAATACAATACAAGTTAATGATAATATGTATATTTGTATATGTTTAAATATACAATTTCAAAGAATTAATGAATAATCCGCGTTTTCCCGAAAAAAAAAATATTTTAAATTGAAAATTGATTACACTCAAGTACTACTACCTATTAACAAGCAGTATTTTTACAGTACGTTCAATAATAACCTATTAAGTTTTAATAAAAGTTGAATACATTAATAAAAAACAAATATATTATTTCTTAAGAAACTCAGAAAATTTAATTCAAAGAGATAATAATTAAGATAACAAATACGAAATAAGTTTAATATATTATCAAATCAATTCTTAATATTATAGTTCTTTCTGAGAATTAAAATGTGAAAGCAGTAGGCAAATCGAATCTTATATCTTATTACTCAAACTTATTCCAATTATGGTGCACATGTCCCTGCAGAAGAAAAGTTCACTTTTTATTGAAATTACAAATTACCGAATTTATCGGTATTTATTGTCTTAATTTACCGGTAAATTTGGTAATTATATTTGCTGGTAAATACAAAAAAGAATATTAATTCTAAATGTTACTAAACTTTGTATTCGGCTTAATGTTAGATACAATATTATCAAATTTAAACTTTATTTATTTTATATTAAAAAATATTAAAACACTCATTTTTTTTTAGAATTTAATGAATATTATTTAAGATAATGATAAAAGTTTCTCGTTCCTTTGCATAAAAAATATTACTAGCTGGAGAGTATAAAAAGCCCAAGAGTATATTTTATTTTGTTGGGTTTTTTGGAAAGTCCTCTTTAGAAATCCCACAACACATCAAATCAATATCGGCAAAGAAACAACTGAAAGCAGCTGTAACGGGAGAAACGCGAGGTCTTTCTCCTTTCTTGTATAGAGTCGCGTATTCCTTTGAAGCCTTTGGAATGAAGGACATTTTCGTTTGAGAATGTATGTTTCGCGGAGATTCCTGCCGTGCTGAGAAGTGTGTAAGGAAGGAAGGGCACACAGCACAGTACGCAGCGTGAAGGGAGAAAAGGGCTGGAGAGGAGAGGTTTATTGAGCTATACGAAGGGACGGAGAAGCGGAGGGCGCCGCTGCCACAACCGACCGCCCCCCGCGCGCACAAGCCGCCCCCGTCTCTCTCCACCACCACCTCCTACTACGGCCTAGGCTACGTCGTTGAATCCCCCATGCTCTTAGCGCTAAGTGCTTGTGTTAATCTGCTGCTCCCCAGCCACCCTCCTTCCTCGCTGTTATTCTACTATTTCGAAGTGGAGACACCGCGGATTCAATGCCTCCCTGTCTGTCTCCCATTCTTTATTTCGCTATTTCTTCGCTAAACAAAAGAGGACACACACACATACAGACGCCAAGTCAGAAAAGGGAAAATACACTACCAAGAATGACTAGCGTCCTTTGGAACAAAACAAAAATATGTATATGCAGATGCTGCTACAAATCATTAATACTGGCATAATAACAGAGAAAATGGAAAATCATCTTTCCAGAGGCATTAACATTACCAGCCTCATTTACAAAATGCAACTAATAGTATACTTTGTAAGTCAACAAACACCAAATGAGAAACACACAAATATTTTAGAATTAAACTTAATGTTGACTCAATTACATCCAGGATTTACGTAGTTACAGAAAATGTAGATGTTTCTTCAAATATACATAATAACCAAGACTATACGTCATTCAATAAATTTCAGAGAAAATACATCACGTTATAATACTAATTATCTAAACTTCATACAGACGTTAATAATTATTTAAAAAAATCCTTCATTTCCTATACTTTTATTAAATTCTTTAATATTTTGTACAAATAAGTTTCAAAAATGGTAAACAGATCATAGATATATCAATAAATTTAATTCATTATGATTATTTACTACTTACTTTTGACTATATATTTACTGGACTCAATTATTGATTGAATTTGTAAATACATATTTTATCAAACTTACGAAGATGAAACATTTATTGAATGAAGATGACAAACATCTAACACTTTTAGATATTTTTTATCGAATTTTATATGTAATATTTGCAAAGGAAAATAAACAATAATTAGGTATAATTTAATCTTTATTCAATTTTGAAAAACAATGCAGAGTATTCAATAAATTGCCACACAGAAAAAAATACAACAACAGTTTCACACAAAAAAAGAAAATAACTGAAATTCATCAAACGCATTGGACCTGCAACAACAACAACTATACGATTTACCTGAAATTTAAACACAACGTTCATTCATAAAGATGTGCAACGATATTGCAATGAAAGATTAATTAAAAAGTATAAAGTAAGTACCAAAAGGTAATAAATAAATACGAAATAAATAAAAATACGAATTTTCAAAAAATTATCAAAATTAATACATTTCGCTAAGTTCGCAGATGTAATAACTACGCATGTCCTATTTTCATGTTAATGTACATCGTAATCATCTTAACTTAAAAAATAATAATTACTAAAGTATACACAAAAGAAATTAAATTTAATAAGGTTGCTTTTTAGAGCTCATAGTATAAATGTATATATTCGTTAAGATTGTATGAGGATTATTAAAAATAGATTATATTTCCTTTATTTGTTATTCAATTTCTTTTTTAACTTGCTTAGTTTTTTGTTTATGTGAATATAAATTGAGTTGAAGAGAATTTGTGAAGTAGAACGCGTTTATGATTTGAGTAACTTCACTAAGCGCAGATCCTTGCCTGTCTCGGATCTGCGAAAATCATCCAAAAGCTGCAAAAAAAAAAATGGAAACAAGTTTGATTAGAATATACCTTTATAATTTAATGAGTGGAAATTAAAGAAAATGGTGTGTATACATTATGTACACAAAAATTACACTTATAAAAGATACAGTTACGAAAATTATAATATTTAAGTTGATTATTGTTTGTTGTGAAAATAATTTTAGAAGATTGTTCTTGCTGTGTAAAAACTTATATGTATATATATATATAACAGTATACATATAATAATTAACATTTAAATTATTAGATTTCAGATCTTACCTCGTAGGAGAGTTCCTGCTTCAAGATAGAGATGGTGTTTTGGTTACCAACGCAACAAGCCATCAGAGTCGGATAGAGGATCTTCGACAAAGATTCGACCGAGAAGTACGGGAATGGCAAGGAGCAGAGCTGCTGAAGAACGGAAGGCGATTGACCACTAACCAGCAACATCTGAAACACACAAAGAGAAACAGAACGAACCACACGAAGGCGTGAATTAAAACGAGAATCACGCAAGGTACAAATTAAAACATTAAAAATTCATTTGCGCTCTTGCATAATAGATGGGCGACGTTTGAATCGTGGACGTGACATAATCCTGCCACGTGAACATACAGGACGGACACGAAATATTACGGCAATAAAAAGTTACCAGTGATTACTCGAAGAATCCACACGAATCACAAGGCGTTTAATTCCACATCCGATCGCACGCACAGTGCGTTTACTTGTATTAATTTTCCAGGCAATCAACAAGTCCTATTGCGGTACTACTTGATACTTGCCAAGTAATTTGTACAGCTTCGCAATTACTTGCATTTCTTGTAAAACCTACTTGACTTAATGAAAATACTGTTGAGGATAAATGATGGAACGAGGAATACTTCGCGCTTGGACCGGAAGTCGCCGAATGTCATCCAATTGATTTACGACTTTCGTTTTGGCTCGAAATGCGACAACCCTTCAACCCTTCCCCCACTCGCATGCTACCACCTCTTGGCCAACTTTTAATCAAGATTAATGTACTTACAATCGCAACTAATTTGCTAATCGCATCTCAGCGCAGTAATTCCTCTACAGGTGTTTCATACGGATTACTTATACGTACATCGCGAAGATAACACTTGAACATATCACTTTGCCACGACAATATCAATTTATAAAAAGTAATTGAAACATGTATTGCAACAAATCACCATACCACAAACTAAACAAAATAACATAATAAGAAAATAAAAAACAAATTGATCTGCTGCAAAAGACTTATCATATTTAAGTTTGGATTACTTAATACTTAAATCTAATATTTTGAAAATATTTAGTTGTATATGCAAGTTAATATCAGAACATTAATGTGTTATTCAATTCTAGCTTTACATCTATAATTAAAAACAAGCATCAAGTGTTGTTGAACAAGCAGATAAATAAAGTATTATATTTTATCCAACATATGTTACTAAACTTTTAAGTCTCTTCAAGTATGTCAATATATTCATGTTCATTTAAATCAGTGATTCCCAAAATGGGCACTACCGCCCCTTGTTGGTGTGCTTCGATCCAGGGGAGCGGTAGAAACATTAATACATATATCTTTCTGTTTAATTGCTACTAAAATAAAAATCCAGGGGGCGCTAAGGTATATTTTTTTCTGGAAAGGGGGCGGTAGGAAAAATAAGTTTGGGAACAACTGATTTAAATGGATGTCATAAATCAATACTACTATCATTAAGATATTGCTTACAAAGTACTTAGTTGATTCTCTATTAAAAATGTCTGAACATTAATTATTATTTAATAAAATCATGTATATCATGGATCAATTTACATCTACATTAATCAATAAAAATCAAATTTAGAAACAGTTTATTTTGAAGATAGTTTAGATATATTACTTTTCTGCACTTTTGATCTATATATTGATCATTTTAAGTATGGATAGTTATCTAAATGACACATGTATAAAATTTTTAATAAATAATTGCAAACTGTTTTGTTCCATCGAATGGAATAATATAGGTTAAGTGAGGACATTAGTTTTGTAAATTAGAATATATACATGGCTGTCCGCATGACAAATAAAGTAAGTTTAGCAACTGAAATATTGAATAAATAATTTCCATCATGGAATGACCGGAGCCAACTTATTACCGCCTCCACGCGTGTATTATAATGTACGTCCATACATGTACATATACATTAAATGTATTTAAAGTAATGACTTACTGTTGTCATCGTCGCGGTATTGGGGTATGTATTAGGAACTAATGGTGATTGTCGTTTTCTGTGTGTGTGCACCACGATCGACTGGATTAAATATTTATTGGCAATACGAACTAATGAACGACATCAATTGCGGATTAATCCAAAGGATGAACGAATGGACATTCCTCGAGTTCGTTCTTTTGCGGTCAAAGAAGTAGAAGAAAGAAAGAGGAGACTTCTTTGGCGTCCGCTGCCAATATTTCAGCTTTTGGTGAGGAGAAGCGACAAAGTTTTATCGTGTACATATTCGGCTGCATTCCTCGAGTCGCGCCGTCATTAAGATAGCGCGGCGCCACCGTCTTGTTCTTCCAGTTCTTCCTTTTTCCCATTCTAGCTCAACTCTCTCACTCTTTCTTTCTGGGTCTTTTATAAAACCTCCTTTCCATTCCGTTCTTTTCCTCCTCGCTGGAGTCCGAAATGGAGGATCGTCTGAAAATATCCGCCACCATTCGTCGCGCACGTACGAACACACACCTATGAAAGCCTCGACTCGCAAATCACCACCACCATCAAAGCTCTTCGGCCCCGGCGACGGCAGATTTATTAACTCTCACCCACTCTTCGTGCTTGCTTCCTTTTTTCCTCGTATCCCTCCACTCCTCTTGTTTCTCTCTCTTTCTCTCCACTTTTTATTTTATTCCTCGGGCGTACTTTTTTTTCTTTTTTACGGGTTTTAACCCAAATACATTTTGCACCACCCTCGCAAATCCCAGACACGTTTCGCGTTTGGTTCATAAATTACCGACGTATTCATAATGCAGTAACCATGATCATGAATTACATCTATTCTACTTTATGCTGATTTTTCTAATAAGAATAGTTTATATTATTAAATAATACTCAATTCTAATTAGACTATTATAGTAAAACTGAGTCTGCTCTTAAGAAGTTTGTCTTAAATTATATCTTATGTAAGCTGCAAAATAGAGTAGAATCACAAGATAAATAAATCTTACATGTTTCTTGAAAATGTTATTATTAAATGTTTGCTTACAACATTGGCAAGGATTTCTCATATGTTTTTTGTGTTAAAACTAAAACCTTCTACGTTGGATTTTTAGCAAATTTTTATTGTTTAATAATAAAAAGTTGCTAAAAATCCAAAGTACAAGTTTGGACTAAACTAGATATTTTTATTACTAAATATATTTTATTCAGTTTCAAGTCTATATATTTCATTGATTTTTACATCATACAAGTAAAAACCATACCGTTTTCATTATATTTGTAAATGTTTATAAATATATTTTCAGACATCTATGTATATATTTCTATATAGGTTTAGTTCGAAGAGCTCTGAATTAGTTCATACGTCGTAGCGACTAGCCCGTATTAATCATGCGACACGCGAACTTTCGTTCACTTTATTACACGTACATATATTTATAACCAATTTCATCCACTACATAATTTTCTTCCCTTCCCTGCTTCCCTATTATTTACTCATTGCGGAATGTACTATGTTTAATAAGTCAGATACAAATGTCACGATTGGCCGATAAGATTGCTGCGGTATTTCCATAACGTGCCGACTACAAATTAACCTAATTTATAATGCACACATACACACTCTCGCACACGTTTATTAATATATACATATACCGTGAATAGGCGAGGAAAAGTCACTGTCTTTTGCGAAACTTCGCTTATATTATTAGCCAGTCAATTTTGATGCATTTGGATTACGTCACTCACCTGATTATCATAGTTTTCCACAGCAAAGTAACCGGCGACGTGGATGACCTCGTGAAGGAGATTCTCGTGGGCTTCGGTGCAGCTGGCCGCAGCCATGATCTCCTTGCTGCCATTCGTTAGCTTCGGGAGAGTCGGAGAGGCGCAACACCAGATCAGGTGGCTGGCGATGTGTCTGAACTGCAAAGAAATTCCTTCAGCACCTAAAGCTTCCTGCGAAGGACACAAATTTAACAGTTAACTTTAAATATTTTAATTTTTATGATATTTTAAAGTATTTGTATGTAAATTTACTACATGAGGTTTGTCTCAAATTTGTGGTATTTTTGCTTTAATTCTTCTGTTATTAATTTCTTCAAGTTAAATTTAAAAGTCATTACTATAAATAAGTCGTTGATTGCAGAGAAATCTACTTACAAATGAAGTGCAATATTTGAAATTGTTATAATACATAATTTCTTTAAATGTAGCAAGGAAACCTTCTCAGATATATTTCAAATAATGTACAAGCATTAATGTTTGTAAATTGAGGATTGCTTTGGTCCATGCTAGGATTTGCTAAGAACCGCAGCAGTTGAACGCTCGGTACCGGAGGTAGCTATGTAGAGTCGGGCTAAGCGGAGATGAATTTATACAACAAATAGGTTTATTCTATATTAGAATGGCGTACAAACAAGAAGCTCGTCTGTGTATATGCATTATATGTGTATATGCTAGCGGTATGTACACAGAGGAGCCGGCGGAGCTCATCCACAAACAAGAGAGCCGGAACGTAAGTACACATACGTATACCAAAAACCCATCATCATGGCACTGTCTCTTTCCAACCGGCGGACCGAAATCTCTGCGATTTCGAAGGAGGAAGCGAGAAAGAGCGAATTGTTGGCCGCCCTCCCACGAAGTACAAAGCTAATTTTCAAACCGGCCGCGGCAAGAGCGAAATGATTCAATTAAAATACGGCTACGCGGCGGCAAATATGGTTAGAGGTCGAACTGCAAATAGATAGATGGCAGATAGGCTACGGCCTAGGGGGATGATATTGATATTATTCGAAAAGGGTGCACACGGATGGATGTATGTTTATATGTATACATATGTGTGTATGTGAGATTTCCGCCGTGCGCTCATTAATTTTCCAACAACATTGTGCAACCCTTTTTCCCACATAACACGCAAAAACGAACAAATACAGGTACACAAACAAAAAATACTTTTAATCAAAGTCAAAACAAGAGTCGGCAATAGCAATCTACGATCTAATCTTGATGCAAATGAAACAAAAGTGTGAAAAAATGGGGAACGTTAATAAATGATGTTCATTGAAAATCAAATGTGTCATAAAAGAAACGTTCTAGTTTTTTAATATTGATATTAAATTTGTTATTATAACTACGTGTAATTTTGATTAAAAAAAAACTTGTTAAACATAATAAGTGTTACAAATTTCTTGCATTTACAAACAAGTCTTTGTTATGTCAATATTAATTTGTTACGTATTCTCGCATTTATTTTAAATTTGAAAGTTGTTTATTCTGAATATTTTGTTCAAAAAAATATAAACTTAAACTCAGAAATAGATTTCGGTTTCAGCAAATATAAAGTACTAACAGATAAAAGTAAATAATGTGACATTCCAAATGAATCCCAAAAAAAAAACGAAGAAAAGCTTTTTAATGTATTTTCCTCACAGCCTACCGAGTCATTCTATAATATAATTTTTCCCTTCAAGTTTTTTTTTTATCATAATAAAGTTGTTCAAATATTGGTTCGGAAAATACTTTCGCCGCGATGTTCCCTGCCCGTGCCCGCTTTATTCTGTGGGAAACAATTTCCAGTTTGCTTTTCTGGTTTCGGGAAGTGTCCCTCGGGGACGTCGTGGGACGTCGGTTGTCCGCAGCACGCGCCCTCCAGATGATGATGATGAGAACCCTCCCTCTTCCAGTGGGACCGAAGAGCACGAGGCCAATTCGCACGGCCAACCGCGCTCGTAAATCCCAACCATAATTAACCCATCGCATGGGTGATACTCGACACCGAAGTAGTAATGACGAAGAAAGAATGAGTCTCACCTGAAACTTGGTCAGATCCAGTTCGGCGATGCGTCGCAGTAGTCGGAAAGTGACGGAAGCCAATTTTAAGCAGGAGGCTGGTATCACCGGAGGAGGTTGTCCTTCCACTCTCGGCGTGGAATCTGGAGGTAGAAGAGTTCCGTACAGCATCGAAACGGCACCCATCAACTCAGTTCCATGTAAAGTCCCAACCTGATAAGAAATTTTAAAAAAGATATGTAAAACTAATTGCCATCTAATCACTGTTTATATTAGCAAATACTTGTCACATGATTTTCAAGTATCGGCATGGTGTGGTGTGCCTACAAATTCCGCAAGTATTTGCGTAGTAAAATCGTTGAATAAATACAAGCATCTCGTATAGAATACACCTATACCTCGCTATAACGACCTTTTTAATTATGACACTATCGACGCCCAAACAAATTCTATAGGAAATAAAAAGAATAAAATAATTGATTCATTATACGGCTTTTCGCTTTACGGCCAACTTTTCGGGAAAGTATCTAGTCCGTAAAGTGAGGTATGGGTATCTGTAAATATATGTTCATAATCCAATTTTCATGATACCCAATGATATCTAATAAAAAATTAATATTTTATCTCAATATTTTATTAATATTAATCATTTACATAATTAAAAATTAAAATGGAAAAAACTTTTTAATTGTTGCGGACCAGAAAATATAATATCGATACAATATTATTATATTAAACGTGGAATTATTTCAAATTCAAAATAATATAATAAATTATTTTAAAAACAATCGTATTGTTTTCATTTTACATACATTATTAATGCAAATTGTCAATATAAAACAAATTAATTTAATATTAGATTATTAAAGTTTTTAAATAATTAGAGCTAATTTGTGTTACAGTATCTGAAAAAATAGTACTAACAGATGTACCGTATACGCGTACACTATTACTTCTAATGTATATTAGAATCTATAGACATTTTGAGTGCGTGAACTAATTTATAAGAAGCGATCTTTGAAGTGACGATTTTAGTATGTTGTATGTCTAGTAGTAGAGTGAGAAAAAAATGGGAAGAGAAAACAAAGCTTACCAAATGTGTTGGATCAGAGTCCTCGGGGCATTGGTCAGCAAGCGCTGCCAAGAACTCCAAGGCCGCTAGTAAAAAGGCACAAGCCGGAGGGATATCGTGCACCGGACTGCGAACTGCCAAACAGCATTTGGACAGTTGCTCGACAACCCCCAAGCACACAGCAAAACTAGAACAAAAAAGAAAAAAATACAAGTTACAAGTTGTAAATACTTCAGAATGCATATCTACACTAATTTAAGTCATGATTGCTGTCAAAAGAAGTAACTGCAAAGTTTTCTCTTAATTATTTATTTCATATTATGCTCGATATTAAATTAAAAATTAAAGTAAAATTGATTATTATTGTTTATTTAATTTTCCCGAATTAAAAAAACAACTAGTAGTTTCAAGTTATTAGTAAAAAAAAAGATATAACATCCAATATTTGATTTTGCAAGTTCCAAATTAATTACATAAAAATAACATATAGTTTCAATTTGTTAGTTGAATTACTTTAGTTGAGTAACTCTAAATACAGTATAACGCTGCATCCACACTATGCCTGTATCAACGGCAATGTTTTCTTTCATCGTTTTTGGGTTTAGCGAGTCCCAATTAATTAATAATGGAAAAGACTGATTCGTAATTAAATTTTTGAAGAGTTTGGCATCGGAAAAGCAAATAGATTTATCATTTGCATCCGCCCCCTACAAACACACAGCTCGTATTCAAGTTGTGTGCGGAAGCACGGAATGGATCCGCTCGTCCGTGGATGCTAATAATCACCGATACGCCAATAACAATTAGTGCACGCGTGACGGATTTGAATAAACACGGGGAGGAGAAATGATGATGATCATCATCACACAATCATCGAGAACGGATCTTCGGGTCCCCAACCAAGTCGATCAGCTCCAGAAGGATGAGGTTGAAGAGTAGAGAACAGATGGGTGCAAGGGAGACAGTGGAAGGGAGAGAGGACGCTGGCTTCTCCCAAATCTAGCGTTCGCGTCACTGCCCTTTCGAGTTTCACTTGTTTGCACAGAGGGTGAAAACGAATACCCAGAAAACGCAAGCAAGCAGCATGCACCCACCCTCCCCCGGAGAGCTCTGACGACCCATCACGCCAATCAAGGCGCTTCTCTAACTTAACTTAACACTGCCTCTGTGAAGCCGTCAGTTGTTACTGACCCGGCCACTCTGGCAACATCAACACGGGGAACCCGAACCCCGTGGAAATTGTCACATGGCACATGACAAAAGCACAATCGTTGCAGATTTGCACGAGCTTATTTACAATTCTGAAGCGATGCACTTGTTATTACCACTTGTCAACACAACCGAGTTCTACCACGCTCCAGACATCGAGTCTGTCAGCATCAATATAATAACAAAAATATTCTACATTTCGAAAAAAATATACAGAAATAATAAATATATAATAGTAAGAAATTAAATTAGTTTCATAAGTGAAAGATATAAATCTGAAGACAAGTGATTGTAACAATGATTAATTAATAAAAGTCAAATTATATTTCAGAAAATAAATTTAGGTAATAATAATATAATAATGTTAAAAATATAAAAAAATATCAGTTATTAAGTCTTTGAATATAATTTATTGCACATTACACTAATCATACAAATAATTCTCAAATGTATTTTATTAAATTATTTTGTGACTAGTTTATTACTAATAACTCATTTCTTTTAATACAATATACTTATATAATAACATACTATATTGTGAAGCACGTTTTATAATAAAATATAATTGTAAGTATTTATAACTCGAATAAAAGTTTTACTAAATGAAAAAATAAAACATATGTCACAACTTCGAGTAAATTGTTTCAATGTAAAACATAATTTGTGATTTAACTTTTATTAAACAATTTGTAGAAAAGTAAAAAATTGTTCTTTATAGAGGAAATGATTTAATAACGTCACGTAAAACATTTTTTAAATATAAAAATATAACCGCAATTGTTTGATTCTTTCGAATATGTATTATATGGTGAAACTCAACCAGATCAAGGCAGGCTAAATCATGTCATGTGAACTGACATAGTAGTAGTTTTAATTATATAATTTGAATTAATAGCTACATTCTGAGTATATTCTAATATCATACGACAAAATCAATTTTAGAAGAAAAAAAATGTATTTCAGATCGAATGCCTATATAAAAGTAAGAGTATAAAACTAACAAACGTTTGTATAATTCATTTAGATTTTTTCAAAATAACATATACTATTATGTTTTCTATTTTGAAAAATAAATATACTAGATCAGGGGTCAGCAACCTTTTTGAAGTGAAGAGCCATATTTAAGATTAAATCTATTAAAAAAAATATTTGGGAAGAGATGAGCAACCAATGGTCCGATTGGTAAAAGATCATTAGAGCCAATAGATATTTTAATAACAAAATGATTCATTCAATGAGTCGCAAACAGAACCCCCATTATTGTAAAGCTTTCAGAAAAATAATTAGAAATTATGGTCACGATAATATAAAAATCATGTCATGTTATTAATTTAAAAAAAATAGCGAAAAAGAATCGCAAATTCGATGAAATGTCTATAGTAAAGTGATAAATAATCCGTGCTCCTTAATGTATGTACCTTCGGCAAGGGGTGGTATTCCGTCACCGTACCGTGACTAGGGGTGGTATTCCACGGGGGGCGGCGAGAAGCGGTTCCGCATTAGAGACGGACTTTAAAATGCCGCCCCTAAATATTATCGGCTTTCCGCCGGATCCGGTTTTCCTGCTTCTTTCTCGTCTCCGGGTATTATTATTTCTTTTTTTTCTGTGAGTGCCCCTGAAGAATATAGCGAGGGGTTGTTCCGAGGATAGCCCGGACTTGGGGGAGGCCCAATCTGTCGGCTAATGCTATTAAGGTTTGCTCTCCTTCCCTCTTCTGCAGCACATACTATTTTTCGCATACATATATTTTTTTTATCCCAATTGCAAATTTACTCTGCATATGCCGCACGGTGGGCGAAATAATGTATGCATATGGTCAGAATTTTCGAGTGAAACCAACTGCAAATGCTTTCGATTGATTCGGGCAAAGGGAGTCCCTTTTGTCATGTAGCAAAAAGCAATTGTTTCCACATAATAAACTCCAAAAAGAAATCAATGGAAATAAAGTGCGTTCAAATTATCGAGTATCTTAAATGAGCATTCCGCACGATGAATTGGGAAATGCAAAATAGAAAAAGTGCTTTGAAAGAGCCACATGTGCTACTGTTTGATACATAATATGATTATAGTTACCTAATGTCTGTTACTTTTCAAAGGTCATACTTTTTATTAATTACATTCTCAAATATTTAATGTTTAATGATTGTTGAAATTACAATACTGATAATTTTGAAAAGAAAATAATAATTTCCAATTTTGATATATTGAAAAATAAATCAAAAGCTTAAGATGAGTATATTGGTTATTTTGTGAAATATATTTGTATTTTTATTAATGAGGTTTGAAATTAAAACTATTACGTTGATTAAAATTTTAAAAGTTTTAGTTTGTAAACATAGATTTGTTAAAAAAGTAATTTTGTGTTTAAACCAAACATCTAGTTTTCATATAAAGATTGTACTAATAAATTAATTTGTTTCTACTAATTATTCACTAAGAAGAAACCTTCCTAACTACAATATTTACCAAAATAAGAACTATGCCTTAATATTTTCCTAAATTTTGCTGAATCGCATAAATAAAGTCAAACTGTCGTCATATAATAAAAAGTGGATATAACAAAACCTTTTATTGGTAGGCATAAATCTTTCGAATTAGCACTCTTTTTATTTCTTCCAAAAAATTCACCAATTCTTCATTCCGTTTATTTTTATTTTTTTCTCACTGCGTTTTTGAAATGTTGGTCTTGTTCGTTGACAAAGGACCATTTTGGCAATTGGGCGCAATCCAGAATCGCAGCAATAAATTGGCTAGCAATTATGTGCGTGTGAGTGTGCATGCGTCTATGTATGTATACGTGTGCATATGTATGTGTGTGTTCGAGGCGAGAACAGGCGTCGGCGTCGCTCGTGTTGTAATTGTGATGAATGGGCGCGGCGCTGCGTCGGACGGCGTCGTAATCGAATTCATAACGCGGATCGCAGTTGGGGCCCATTAGTAGATTGCCCCGAATGTGCCGTTTCGTGGTGATCGTTACAGACGACAGAAATGCACCAGATACTTACTAGGGATTGTCCCTTCTTCTTTACTTTCACTGCTTTCCGTCTATCACCAACAAAAAACGGCCTTACACTTAAATAAAGCTTCTGTACATCCACCACAATCAATATAAACTTACTTCTACCAACAATTATTAAAAGCGAAAACTAGTTATACAACACTTCTTGATAACTTACACCTTAAATACTTATGCTTACACTTAAACCTTAAGTAGACATTAGGATTGCGAAAAGCTAAAGACTTATATCATTTTATATAAATATAGTGTTTATTTGAAAACTGGCATTAATTAATAAAAATATATCTGAATGAACAAACTTGAAACAAAATGCACTTCATTTTCATATAAGCAAATAATTGATGACAGCTCATTGCATTAAATTTGCAATTGCATTTTTTTAATAAAAATTAAAATTAGATATGAATGTTCGAATAAACGTTCTTATTATAAAAACAGTAAAAATCGTCAAAAATATATCAAAATTGCGAAGAACGAATATTATATTCTTAATTTATAAATATTAACATATGTTCTAACCGTAAAGTTAAATTTATACTATTTTTCAGTCATTGTCATAGGGAAATTGATTTATGTTTTAAAACATCCTTAATTTTTATTATTATGTTCGATAATCAAGGTTCCAATATACTAATTAAATTAATATGTATAATTAGTGAGATAATTGTTACTTTGTTTAATTATTTTAAATAAATCGAGTCTAGACTATAAGAAAAAATAGTGCTTTCTCGATATTTTTTTTAAGTTTCATTCAATTATTTTTCATTTGCACATGATTTATCTTTTCCTGTTCAATGTTTATTAAATGAATATACAACTTTAATAGTCCATAAATATATTATTTTATTGATAATTTATTTATTTATATTTATTTTGTTTGATTTTTGGCTTTGAAACAATATATTTTCTATAGGAATTTATTATATTTCTTCATAAAATAATTCCATAAATAAATGCT